TGTGTGTGTGTGTGAGAGAGAGAGAGAGAGAGAGAGAGAGAGAGAGAGAGAGAGAAGAAATCATTTCCTGAAAACCAAGGCACAACGTGCAATGAGAGTTAACTATATTCCTAGGTTCAGATTCTTTGTTACTATTGTTGTTAGGGTGACAGTGACTGGGATTTAATCAATTTAATAAACCAGGATAAATAATGATAATAGCAAATATTTAATGAATGTTTATTGTGTGCCAGGCTCTCTGTTAAGGCCTTTACTTGCACTACCTCATTTAATCCTAGTGAAAGTTCTTTGAGTCGGGTACTGTCTGGAGCTAAGAAAATTAAGCGTCAAAGATGACTAATAAATGACTGACAGGGAATATGAACATGACTCCCCTTGACTCCCAGTCCTCATAAGGAATCTTTCTCCTTCAGAGAAAATATATTCTTCAAAAAGAACATAGAGATATTTGATGTAGAAAGTATCTGAAGTAAAGGAGATATATTTTTGCTTGAATGTTTACAGTCTTTCCAAGTCTTTCACATTCTGTAAATTGAGGGACTTTGAAGACAGTCTGTCTCTGAATGCATCTACATTTGAGTGAAAAGCAGTGTTGGCATCACATGGGGAGTGCTTAAAACATTCTGATGCCTGAGTTCCATCCCCAGGGACTATGACTTCGTTGGTTTGCCATACCACCTGGGCATTGGGATTTTTGAGTTCGTTGGATGATTCCAATGTCCAGCTAGAGTTGAGAACCAATGGTGTTTGCTGATGGTTGCTAAACTTACCTGCACATTGGAGTCACTGGGGAGCTTCAGAAGCTACTGAGGCCTGTGTCATTCCCCAGAGGTTGTGATTTAATTGGTCTGAGCTGTGGCCTGGATTTTGAAAATTTTAAGATTCCCAGGTGCAGACAGTTTTGGAACTCTGTGGTTTCATGCAGTGGTTTTCAACCTTGGTTGTATACAGGAATCATCTGAGGAACTTTTCAAGTTCTCATTGCCCTGGTGTGCACTCACTTTAATGAAACAGACTTTTTGGAGTGGACCTAGACAGTAGTGTTTTTTTTTTTTTTTTTTTGAAACTTCCCAGGTGATTCCAATATGAAGCCAAAGGCAAAAACTGTAGGTCTCTTCTTTTTTCTCTTCTATATACCTCTGTGCCAACTACATTCACTTTCCCAATTCAGGATTCTTGAGGCATGCTTGGGGAAATGTTGGTCTAGAAGAAGCTTTTCCTTATGTAGATACACCGAGTTTACTTGCTTAGACTGACGTGAAAGAGTACAGAGCTAAACAGATTATGGAAAGTGATATATTCTGCATTCCAAATAGTTAACAAAGTTGGTTTTGCCTGCTTGTATTGACTTACTTAAATTAGTTTAAAATCTAAGAATGAAATCACTGACTGATTTTTCTGATTCAATAACTAGTCTCCACCGACTCCTGGCCCTTGTCTTGTATTCTTTGAATGGTCTAAAAAATGAGTTTGCCTCATAGAATCAAAGAATCATTAAGGAAAATGTAAGTGACATCCTATATCTGTGCTCTATTTATCTTGTTGCTTTTCACTGTATTCTCCAGGAGTACCAGGTGTCAAAGTGGAGCGCTTTGAAGAGGGAATGAAGGTAAAGCACTGTGCATTGTCCCTTGTGGGAGAGCCAATAATGTACCCAGAGATCAACAGGTTTTTGAAGCTACTCCACCAGCATAAAATCTCCAGTTTCCTGGTTACAAATGCACAATTCCCTGTGGAAATCAGGTGAGTTGTTCAGCCTTTTGTGGTATGCTGCTTGAATCTATGTTTGACTGCAGAGTAAAACTACTAGGCATTACTACATTCAGAGAGGATTTATTAATTACTACATACAAATGTTGGGCTTTGGGAAGTGAAGATGGTTCTGTCTTTAAAATTCATTCTATTAGGAGAGAAACTTAGTCAAAAGAATAGAGCTATAGCTAAGGGAATTCACAAGAAAATGCAGTTTTTTCCAGATAGGAGAAGCAGGTTACAACTTTCCAGAGAAGCTGTCGTTTAATTTGGATCTTAAAATATGGCTGAGATGGGTATTTGGAAAGGTAGGAGACTATATACGTATGTTTTTTAGTGGCAAACTGTCAGGGGAGGGGAGGTGGGACTGGCAGTTGAGGGAAACTGCTAGGAGGGGGGGGGCATACCTCATCAACAAGGATACCTGCATGATCGGTGTTTATATACCTAACCCTTAATTGTACCCCACATCTTTATAATCAACAAATTTTAAAAAAAGAATTTCTAAGAAAGACATGGAATTTAGGTATTTGTGATAACTATTATGTAAATATAGTTCATCTGAACCACAGAGTGTGTGAGAGAGTGAAAATCAAGTTGGAAAGGTAGGGATAGAACGTAGAGGGCATCAAATGCCATTCTTTAAAAAGATCTTGTTTCCTGCAGGGTAACCTGCTGGCATGGTATAAAATGGGAAAGACGAGCAGCAGGAACCTGGATAGGAAATTAGTATGTTTGCTTAGGTCAGAGTGGTAAGGGTAGAAGTCAGACAGTTAGAACTAGGAGTCTTAAAAAAGATATTGTTGAGGCATACTAGATAGGATCAGCAAACTGATTATATCGCTCTGAGAGGCCATCATAGTGGAGGACCAAATAATTATGCTGAGAGCTACTGCCATGATGATTGCTAGGATTATGGGGCTCCATAACAGCACAGCGATCATATAAGGTTTAGGCAAAGAGGTAGGTTTGGATGACTTAGGGGAGGGGGATGAGGAGACATCTCCTGGGGTCTGAGAATGGTCTATTTTGCATTATACTTGGACTATGCACATAGTATAGCACAAAAGTACTAAATTTTACTTAGCTGTTATTTGTCTGTGCTTTTCCCATTAGACTGTGAGTTCCTTGAGGTCAAGACCCTTGTTTCTTTATCTCTGTTCTACTAATATAGTGCCTGGCACACTGTTGCTGCTTAGTAGATGGGCAGTGAAATATTGGGGAAATTGGGATAAAAAACAATGGTCTTTCTGAATTCATTTGTTTTCTAAATATTGACCAATGAAATGTGATATGAAAAATGGTAAAAAAATAATTGTAAAAGTAAACACTTATTTCTAGAAAGAGTGATCACACACACATGTCAGCTTAAAATTTAGTCTACTAAGAAATCAAAACGTTGATGAAAATTATTATCTACCAAACAATAATATGACAGTTATTGTACATTGTCACAAAAATAGCTATAATATTACTTTTTGAAGTTGTATAAAAAGATACAGGTTTTTGTTTGGTTGGTTTTGAGCTAGATATCACAGCCTTGACTTCCTGGACTCAGGCTATCCTTCTACCTCAGCCACCCAAGTAGCTGGGACTACAGGTACATGCCACCATGCCTGGTTAATTTTTTTAATTTTTATTTTTGTAGAGACGAGTTCTAGCTATGTTGCTTAAGCTGGTCTTAAACTCCTGGGCTCAAGTAATCCTCCCACCTCATCCTTCCAAAGTGCTGGGATTACAGTTGTGAGCCACTGTGTCCAGTGAAAGATAAAGTTAAAAAGAAAAGCATTTTTTTTTAAAAAAAAGACAATGTGTATTTTTACATATGGTCACCATTTCTTTTTTAAAACTTTTGTTTGATTTGCTGAGGTGAGTGGATTGCCTGAACCAGTGAGTTTGAGACCCGCCCGGTCAACTTGGCGAGACCTCATCTCTACAATAAATCAAAAAATTAGCTGGGTGTGGTAGCGCGCACCTGTAGTTCCAGCTACTTGGAAGGCTACTTGGAAGGCTGAGGCGGAAGGATCGCCGGAGCCCAGCAGGTCGAGGTCAACTCAAAATGAGACTCCAACTCAAAAAAATAAAAAAATAAAAAAAATAAAATCCTTGAATTTTTACATGGCTTATGAGGGAGACATTAGAATAGAGTGTTGTTTGGGGTACATATATGAAAAAAGGGAGTCTATCTTAAATCTAAGGCATATATTCCTAAAAAGAATTGACTTTACTAGGAGTGGGTTGTAGGTAATTTTTTACAAAATGGTAACCAGAGAGGATAATTCATTGTTTGATCATGCATGGAAGTCCTTGTGAGTGCCACCAAGTATTGAGGAAAATGGTAGAGTATGAAACAAGATATTTACTTGAAAGTGTCCAGCAAAATGCCTAGTACATGTAAACATTCGGTAGATGTTGAGTCTCTCTTCCCCTCTCTTGCTGGTGAGCCTTCTCTTGCCTGCAAGGGAATCATGGTACAAAGAGATGTTAGTACTAGTCTTGATTACTGTTTTCAACAAACAGGTGACATATGATGGCATTTGATTCCAAAGAAATATTTCTTGACTGACCAAACCAATCTTTGAGTGTGGGTGCTGACTGGTGAATTGTGAGGGTGACAAAAAGGAAGAAGTAAGGTGGTAGGATTAGGGGACTGGGAAGATTAGCAAATTTCTCAGATCTCTGTTGAAAATAAGAGTTTTAAAAATGGAAGGAAAAAAAGAAGAATCAAGAAAGAAAAGATGCTTAGAAAAGATAAGTTTCTTTTTTCTTTTCTTTTTTGTGAGTTGGGGATCTCACTCTGTCACCCAGACTGGAGTGCAGTGCACCCCAGCCTTGATCTCCTGGGCTCAGGTGATCCTCCCACCTCAGCCTCCTGAGTAGCTGCAACTACAGGCATGCATCACCATGTCCAGCTAATTTTTTGTAGAGATGAGGTCTCACTGTGTTGCCCAGGCTGGTCTCCAACTCCTGAGCTCAGGTAATCCTACTGCTTCCACCTCCCAAAGTGTTGGGATTACAGGTCTAAGCTACTGTGCCTGGCCCTTTTTGGAGTTTTAAAAGCATTCTTGAAGCTCCTAATGTTAAGGGCATAAACATAGACGTTGTGTCGCACCTTTTTAAGTTATATCCTTGCCTGGGCACAAGAGGGGATAAACAGAATATTTTGTGCTTGAATCTCAGGGAGTTGGCATGTCATTGTTATTCACTGAAATACTTATCTAGACATAGAGAAAAACAAAACCAAAACTGAGATGTACAGATTATAGCTAGAATCTGGGAAGAATTTCTGATGATGAGAGCCTTGACAGAGATGGATCGAGGAGCATAATCTTTAGGTGTACCTTGCTGTGAAACTAGGCAGTCCTACTGATTTGGGAGTAATGTATATGCCCAAATGTTAGGAGGTCCTGAATATAAGACAACCTTCCTTCCCCCATATTTTTCCCAATGAAAGATGTGAATCGTTCGGAAAAAAATTTAGAAAGAAGAGCAATGAGAGTTGCCATGCCCAGGTACCATGATGTATCATAAAGCTACGAGTTGCAGATACTCTGGACCACAGAGAAACAGGATAGTCCCGAGACTGCCCTGACATTTATTTATTTATTTTAGTGAAAAGCAACTTAGTTTTTATTTTTAAAGGTAAAATAAAAAATCTAAAGCATGCAGCTCACTCACTCTTCAAGCTAGGGACTAGGAACATATTATTAAACATATCATGGTAGTGAAAATGTAATGCTTTCATTACTTGAGGACTGTCTGAGTTGTGCTAAGAGCTCTCCCACCTCCATCCCCGTGGCCTAAGAGAAAAAGGAAAGAAAAATAGTTCACATAATATAGTACAGATAATATTGCTTATTTCTGTGAATTAGCCAGCATCTAAATACCAGCTCTCTCTGACATTTTAGTTCTTTCAGAAAAACAAGATCAACTTGTGTAACACAGAGGTCATGAGTTTTGCAAGTTTCCTCTAATGTTTATAGTGCTAATTTTATGCAGCACATCATCTCATTCAATTCGGCTATTAGGTGAACTTCTTGTACCTATTTTTATCTCTGAGCATACTCTGGGAGGTAATAATGGTCTCTGGCTTACTCAGTTTTAATTTTTTAATTAAAAATTTATTTTTTTCTGGATAACGGTAATATTACCCATACTCTGGTATCTTTTGAGGAGAATCTTGGCTTTGTCAATTGGTCTTCCCATGGCCCATATTGCAAGCATTACATTCAGGCCAGCGGCCTTTTCAGGGCACTGAACTTTTTCCTGAGAGGGTTTCGGTCTTCCCTACAGCACCTAAATTCTTTACTGACCCACTCAGAAGAATTTTTGTAATGCGTGATTCTCCAGGATTTATGGGAGAGCCCATCGGTTGTGATTGTGGTTTGGAAGCAAACACCTTAGGCACGTGAGAACACTGTTGCTCTCTGTTTGATTAGCTTTATGCTTTTGTTTGTCAAAACTGTGGTTAATAAAAGTGACAAGAAAATGTATAAGACATTTAGTGTTAATGATAGGCCTGGTGGTGACTGGATAAGAAAAAGCCATTTCTCAGTAGGAACATACTCATATATTTTATTTATTTATTTATTTATTTTGAGTCTCACTCTGTCGCCCAGACTGGAGTGCAGTGGCCGCTCCCGGCCACCGCAGCCTCGACCTGCTGGCCTCCGGCGATCCTTCCACCTCAGCCTTCCAAGTAGCCGGAATTACAGTCATGCGCTACCACACCCAGCTGATTTTTTGATTTATTGTAGAGATGAGGTCTCGCTGCCCAGGCGGGTCTCGAACCCGCTGGCTCAGGCAATCCACTCACCTCAGCCTCCCAAAGGCGCGGGATTGCAGGCTGAGCCACCGAGCCCGGCTCATACTCATATATTTTAATACATAACAGTTATCTTTTGCTGTAACCACCCACATCAAATCGTGTGACTCAAACTAACAATCATTTCTTTAGCTCATAATTCTGTAAATTGCCTGGGAGATCTTTT